CTTTATGCAAGGTTCCGTATTAGGCACTGAAAGCAGACACATACATCCTATCTTTCTCTGCAGCCAGAGCTTGAAGGCAGGGGTAGTAAGACCAGAGAAAAAACTGTGAAAAAGAGAAGTGGGCCGGCCAAGTGGCTAAAGTCTTTTCAAAGGAATGTTAAAAAGGACAGAGAGATAGACAGTCTGATACAAAGACAAACATGCACACTCTCATTCTCTGAAGCTAAAGGTCAGATTTAAAAAAAAAATTCAATAGACCAGATGCTGATGGATAGTTTTGCACCAGTTTTTTCCTCTTGTCCCTATTTTAGGGTATGATTTTTTTCACCTTCTATCTTTAGCATTTTAAACACATGCATAGGAGAAGCATGCAGAAAGTGAAGCAAATCACCTACATCTGTCCACTTGCCCGAAGCCAAGTTCCTATCTCTGAGTGAAAAGGGATATATATAAAAGACCCATTATTTCTGGAAAAATAATGAGTTACTGCAAAGCCAAGACAAATGCAGGTAATTCAATTGAAAAATAAGCAAATGATTAGCGAAATGATCTCCAGATGGTCAATAAAGATATCAAAAAGGAGTTCAACTTTATTAATCATCAGAGAAATCCAAATTGAAATCACAATGATGGGGCGCCTGGGTGGCTCAGTCGTTAAGCGCCTGCCTTCAGCTCAGGTCATGATCCCAGGGTCCTGGGATCGAGCCCCGCATCGGGCTCCCTGCTCAGCGGGAAGCCTGCTTCTCCCTCTCCCACTTCCCCTGCTTGTGTTCCCTCTCTCGCTGTGTGTCTCTCTGTCAAATAAATAAAATCTTAAAAAAAAAAATCTATACAAAAGAAATCACAATGAGATACAACTACATTCCCATCATAATGGCTTAAATAAAGGCACAATACCAAATGTTTCTGAGGCTGTGGCTCAACTAGAATTCTCATACGCTGATGAGAAGGATGAGAGGAGGGAAAATTGGTATAACTGTTTTGGAAAACTGGCAGTTACTTGCTCAAGCTGAATATACATACATATATATGTATATTCACTCTAAAATCTACCATATCCACTTACAAGAATATACTCATCAGAAATAAGTACATATATTCAACCAAAGATGTATAAGAATATTCTTAGTAGTGTTGGTCATAATAGCCTTGTTATGGGTTATATTATGCCTCCCCTCTCCCCAATTTATATGTTAAGGTCCTAACCCCTAGTATCTCAGACTATGGCCTTATTTGGAAATAGGGTCATTACAGATGTTATTAAAGTGAGGTCATAGTAGGGTGTAGCCCTAATCTGACCAATGACCTTTTAGAAGGGGAAATTTTGGACACACACACACGAAAGATGAAGGCTGAGAGGAGGGTAATGCTTCTACAAGGCAAGGAATCCCAGAGACCGCCAGACCACCACCAGTAGCTAAGGGAAAGGCATGAACAGGTTCTTCCTCACATCCCTCCAAAGGAACCAACCCTGCTGACTCTTGGTCTCAGACTTCTATCCTCCAGAACAGGAGATAATAAATTTTTGTTGCTCAAGCCACTCAGTTTGTGATGCTTTGTATGGCAGCTCTAGGAAACTAATACAACCTCCAAATTAGAAACAACCTGTCAATCAGCTGTATTTATTCAGTAAAACAGGTAAATGAAGTAGGGTATATTCCTGCATTGGAGTACTATACAGCAACAAAAATGAATTAGCTACAACTACACTCAGCTATATGAATAAGTCTTACAAGTATAAAGTTAAGCAAAAAAATCAGACTCAAAAATGTACGTATAGTATGATTCCATGTGCATAAAGTCAAAACTATAAATTAGCCAAAACTAATTTATGGTATTTAAAGTCAGGATTTTAGTTAGTTACTCTTTGTATGGGAGAAGAGATGGGAATTGGGCCAAGGGTTTTTCTGAGGTTCTGGAAATACTCTATTTCTTTTTTTTTAATTTTTAATTTTAAAGGTTTTTATTTAATCCAAGTGTCAGAAAGAGAGAGGGGGCACAAGCAGGGGGAGTGGCAGGCAGAGGGAGAAGCAGGCTTCCTGCTGAGCAGGGAGCCTGATGTGGGGCTCAATCCCAGGATCCTGGGATCATGACCTGAGCCGAAGGCAGACACTTAACTGACTGAGCCACCCAGGTGTCCCAGAAATATTCTGTTTCTTAATGTGGGTGCTGGTGGCATGGATTTGTTCGGTTTATGAAAAATCTTTGAGCTGTACACTTATGAATTGCCAAGTGCGTACTTACTAAATTATGTGTATTTCAATAAAAAGTTGTTAAAGTGGGGGGAAAAAAAAACCCAGAAGACCCTTTTTTCCTCAATTGTTTGTGACCTTTGGTAAATTCCTTAAGACTCTAGGTATCAGTTTTCTGATATATAAAATGGCAGTAACAATAGTACTTATTCCATATGTTGTGAAATATAGGGAGATAATATATAGGATGCACTTAGCAAAATGGCTGGCAGCATTTAATAAATGTTAGCTATCATTACCATAATTATAATGATTGACAAATATACTATGGAATAGTTTTACTTCTAGATAAACAACTGACATATTATCTATGGTTACACACATTGGAGTCTTTTATTTATTTTACAATGACTCATGCAGAACATAATCCCAGACACTTAGCCTAAGAAAAATATGATGTGGCCAAGTTAGGAGACCTAACCAGCTTCTGGGTTCTTTGAGCTAATCTCTGTCATCTCTAAATTATATTTATGCCACATTTTAACTATACAAGGTGTTAAACACCACTTTTTTTCTGCAGTGACTAAATGGAGAAGAACCTCCAGGATTAATTTTACTTTATATTTGTATGGTTACATTTCATTTGAGCTTCGCAACAACCACTGAGACAGATAGGGAAGGAATTAGTATTCGGATATTTTAAGATGAGCAAACCAGCTCAGCAGTTAAATGACTTGCTTAAGAGCCACACTGCTAACATATGCAGAGTTGGGACCAAAGCTGTTACAAAATTATGTGGATAATCCAGGAAGTCAAAGAAGGAGGATAATTTAAGGTGAATAGTAAGAGAATCTTTGCTTGAGCAGTGATGGCCAATGGAATGTTCTGTGATGATGCAAATGTTCTTTATTTGCTCTGTCCAACACAATAGCCCCTGCACACTTTTGGCTAGTGTCACCGAGGAACCAAATTTTTAATATTAATTTAAATGTAAATGGTCATATGTAACTATTGTATGTATATGCAACTGTCTTGTTTCCAGGAATCATGGTCAAAGGGTTGGGACTGCACTGAGAGCTGGCATCCTGTTCACTTTATGTGGTTAGGTCATATTATCCCAATCTTATCTGAATAGACATGCATGTATGGGGTTGGGATTGTTTGGTTTTTAAGCTTGCATGTATGTAACTAATGTCAGGTAACTATTGTATTTTCAAGGATTATCTTTTGGGAAGGCTCATTTATTGCATTTTAAAAAGTAGACGTTCATAGGGAACCTGGTGCTAAACCAATTTTTAGACGACCTGCTTCTGGGTCGGGGTTTTGTACTTAGCAAAGCAGCTCCCTCGCTGCAATCTATTGAAAGTCAGCCCTCAACACGAGGGTTTGAAAAAAAAAAGAAGGAAAAAAACACAAGAGAGAAAACAATATTTAATATATGTTTATAAAATAAAAAAATTTAAAAAACAAACAAAAGTAGTTGTTTTACTTTTTCTGAAGCAGCAACCCCTGGGAGAATTAGCAACGATCTTAGAATTTACCCTGTTTGGAGGCAATGATTTGACTATAATATTTCTTCCAAAAGAAATGTTGACATGTTGAGTTCATGATGTATTGAAGTTCTATATTTATTTTTACTAGTACTGTTTCGGAGGGCTGTCTCTTGTTGGATGTGGTAGGAACAGTCAATGGAGTATTTTTTATTGTTTTATGAATTACCACATTTGAACCAAGCTGGAAGTGGGGTGGTAGTTTCACAGATATTCACTTGAAGGCTGCATTTACCTCTCTGAGCATCAGTTTCCATATATCCAAAATGAAGGTTTGGGAATAGGTGACTAGGAAGGTCCCCTGAAATGCTAATGTTTTATGAATCCATGAAAACACACATTTCTCTCTTTTCCAGACATTTGGGTTCTAAGGAAATTGCAGTGGCCTGCCTGTGAGTGAGCCAAATCATCTGTTCCTTCAAACCAAAAATATTCAATTTGATTTTCTACTCTATGTGCTATATTTGTATGTCCACATGTGTTTTTGTAACTTTATTCTTTTGTTTTTAAATGTCAGTACCTGAATGCTATTCTCTGAATGTTTGTGTTCTCCTCCCCCCCAAACTCAAATATTGAAAATCTAATGCCCAATTTGATGGTATTAGGTGGTGGATCTTGGGGAGGTGATTAGGTCCAGAGGCATGGGATTAATGCTATTATAAAAGAGTCCCTAGATAGAGCCCTCAGGGCCCCTTCTGCCACGGGAGAGGCTGGCATCCAGTGAGAAGCTGGCAGTCTGAAACCTGCAAGGGGGCCCTCACTAGAACCCAACCGTGCTAGCATCCTGATTTTGGCCTTCCAGCCTTGAGAGCTGTGAGAAATAAATTTTTCTTTTTTTTTTTTTTTAAGATTTTATTTTATTTGAGAGAGAGGGAGTGCGCCCGTGAGAGAGCACAAGCCAAGGGGAAAGGCAGAGGGAGAAGCAGACTCCCCACTGAGCAGAGAGCCCAACGTGGGGCTCGATCCCAGGACCCTGAGATCACGACCCGAGCTGAAGGCAGGCGTCTAACCAACTGAGCCACCCGGGCGCCCCGAGAAATAAATTTCTGTTTATAAGCCACCCAATCTATGGTATTTTGTTATAGCAGTCCAAACAGACTAAAATACTGGATAAAGAAGATTTGAGCTTGACGTCTTTACCTTTATTGTGGAAATCATGCCAGATTTCTCAGTGATCATTCTTCATAAGCAGAACTTATAGACATTTCATGGGAACTTTACACATTATTGACAGGTAAAGTAGGATAGTATAAATAGTTTATTTTTTCTATAATATCTAGCAGATACAAAAGGAACTCCCCTTTTTCATTATCTTGGCTTACTTTGGCTCTGTTAGGCCATTCGGTTTTTTTTTTTCCCCTATTTGAATCTTAAGGTCAGGAAATGGGTATGAATTTCTTCTTGTTCTGGAAAGGCAGCATCTTGTGAGTCACTCCGTCTGAATCCTGTCACCATTTTGTCCCTTCAGATCTTGAATGCCCTTTATCCTCAGTACTGAAACCAGGCAACTTTATCATATGGAAACCTTATTGCTAATGTTGTACTATGTTGTTAATTGTGAAGGAGCATTCAGATGATTTAACAAATGAGGCCTGGTTCCTGTTATGGAAGAAAGAGAGCAGGCAATGTTTAACCTGTTAAGAATACCTTGATATATAGAAGACATTTTTCTCTCCTTGTATTTTATACACACACCCACACCCACATGCACACACAAATAGTATTTGTCTTCTTACACAATGATCTTGCATTAGTTAGTCAAGAGAAACCTGTCATAATAGGCAATATACCCAGGGCCTGCCTTGCTCTTCTATGATGAAAGTGAGTATCAGGCTTGCAGAGAAAACAGGAGACAAAAAAACCCCCACATAAAGTCCTGCTTTAATATGGTCAAAGAACAGCCTTCTGTACTCAAGGTAAAGCAAAGAACATTTTAATAACTTATGACTTAGCCCAATTTGAAATAAGTAATCCCTAAGGCAAAACGGATGTTGATTTGCTCCTATTTGTTACTCATGACTAAACAAAAAATGAAAGTGCTAAATAAAAATAGTGTTAGGACAGCTTATCAGAATTCAGATATTTTCTAATTGCTGCCTGGTGATGCCTCCATATATAATAGTACATATATAAACTAAGGCTGATAGGAAATACTTAATATGGAAATTTATTTTAATCTCTAAGCTAACTCTCTGGAACTTTTCTCTCTTTGGTTTCTCTCTCTCTCTCTTTATCCTTTATTGTATAGAGACAATTTCAGCTTGTAGTATTTATTTTTTTATTTTTTAAATTTTATTTTATTATGTTAATCACCATACATTACATCATTAGTTTTTGTTGTAGTGTTCCATGATTCACTGTTTGCGTGAAACACCCAGTGCTCCATTCAATACATGCCCTCTTTAATACCCATCACTAGGCTAACCCACCACCCCACCTCCCTCCCCTCTAGAACCCTCAGTTTGTTTCTCAGAGTCCAGAGTCTCTCATGGTTCGTCTCCCTGTCCGATATCCCTTCAGCTTGTAGTATTTATTTATTTATTTATTTAAAGATTTTATTTATTTGACAGAGAGAGACACAGCAAGAGAGGGAACACAAGCAAGGGAGTGGGTGAGGGAGAAGCAGGCTTCCTGCAGAGCAGGGAGCCTGATGCCGGGCTCGATCCCAGGATGCTGGGACCATGACCTGAACCTAAGGCAGACACTTAATGACTGAGCCACCCAGGTGCCCCCAGCTTGTAGTATTTAAATAAACATGTGATATTCGGTTTTCTGTGTTAACTTGGTTAGGCTATATCTCCAATTATTCACTCAAACACTAATCTAGGCGTTGCTGTGAAGGTATCTTGTAGATATTATGATCAAAGTCCAAATCAGTTGACTTTAAGTAAAGGAGATTATCTTGTATAATCTGGGTGGACTTGATTTAATCTGTTGAAAGGTCAAGAGCAGAACTGGGGCTTCCCTGAAGAAGAAGACAGCAGCTTCTAGAACTCTTCCAGAGTTCCAGTGGCCTGTACTATGGATTTTGAAGGCTTAGCCAGCCCTGACAACAGTGTAAGCCAATTCCTTGCAACAAATCTCTTAATATATATCTTCTACTGGTTCTTTTTCTTAGGTTGAACCCTGACTGATAAAAAACATTAGCTGTATTTTAGGTTCTTCCAACATAGTGTATGAGAATAAAGAGAAGAAAGGAAGTAGATACCTGATTGTTCAAATTGCTCACTTAGATTTTCTTTCTAAAATTACAGAGCTGAACAGATGACAGGAATTTCAGAAACAGTTAAATAAGGAACACTATGTGAAGCTAAATTGAGGTCCAAGCCTCCAAACAGCTTAAAAGATCCATATACATGGTAACAGAGATAAAACGTTGGAGTAATAATTATGCTTATTTTCATTTACCAAAGTGACAATAATTTCTTGTATTTTCTAAAACCTAGTTTAGAATTTAGTGAAGAGAAAATAATGGCTAGTGAATTTTTATTAGGTAGAGATGGAAATCTTCAGACAGAGAATGCAATTTTACCTCTTTTAATCATTCTCTAGATAAATATGCAAAGTCATACATATTCCAAATACAATTAACTATTAGGATCTATGGTCACACCAACCATCAGCAGCTACTTGAGGAGTAGTTCTATGTTGCATGTTCTATGTTGTATGTTCTATGTTGTAGGGGAAGTGATAAAACACTAAAAATCACTGAAGAATTAAGGAAAATTTGGAGCATTTGCCTACCTGTGATTTAGGCCTGTGTAGAAAGCCATCTGCAGGCAATGGCATGTCTGTCCACTGCTCTTTAATTGGTGGGAATATCAACAAACAATCTTGGCACATGTATATGGAGTTTAACATACCTGATTTGAGCTGAGAGGAGACTATGGAGGGTGGTAAGAAATCAGTTTACCTCTGGCGGGAATGACTCTGCTTCTGGGAAGGTAGGAAGGATTCCAGTGGGAAGTATGTCCCAGGAAAAGGGGTCCCCGTGACTCGATAGCATCACTCTACAGAACATCAAAGTCATTCTGAGTGGGAAGACATTATGTCCACATGAGAAAATGGGAACAATGGAGGGTACTGGGGGTTATTCTGGAGGTGAAACATCAATTATGTGAAAGGACCTTTGTAGTCATTTCACACAATTTTGATATGAACAGTGTTTCATCACTTTACATTTTGGCACTTGTCTAGTTTGGGTTCTCCAGAAAGCAGATGCTGCTATGAAGTTATGAGTGCAAGAGATTTATTAGGGAGTTAACATCTGTGAAAGGAAAAAAGATCGGGCAGGGAGACTCATTACAACATATTGCAGAGCTAGCGAAGGTTCTGCCAGTTTAGCAGGGAGTTCTGAAGCAAAGATTGCCCCTTAAAAGGGTCAGTGTCAGGCAAAAGTGGAGGAACCTGTACCACCACCAGTCAATGACCAGATGCCACGCTGAAAATAACACGACCTCAGGTTGAAAACTCAAGGAAACCCCGACATAGCTAACAGCTGGAGGTTGTTGGTTAATCACACTCCTTGCACCTGGTCAGAGTGTTTTCTGGATGGGGAATCCAGGTGGTTTATCTCCATGGCTGCCCCAGTACTGCAACGTGGCACTCGGGAAATTATGGGTGGCTGTGTATTTGGAGATTAAAATTGATTAGGCCAGAACAAGAGGTGTTAGTGAAATGCATTAAAATTCTAAAATTGCACTTGAAGTAGTTTCTAGAGGTACACTACCACCCATTTCTTAGATAACTAGAGTTGTCACCACTTCCAGTATGTTTAGGGGTTGAATATATCGGATGTTGCTTAAGGCCCCTAAAAGGATAAGAATATTGTTATTCCCATTTCACCCCAAATACATTGCTCTTAGTGGGACAACTCAGGGCCTCCTTTGTGATGGCCTACTACAGGTCACACTGGCTTAGTTGTAAAATGGGCAAAAGGAGCTCAGTGTGGCTCTTTTGGGGATAATGAGAAAGAATCATTTATTTCATATAGATCAAGAAGGTAGACTGAACGAAGTCAGATTGGCTCTTTGTGATGCTTTTTTTTTTTTTTTTTTTTAGGGTATATTATAACATAGTGCTTAATATAGAGGAGACTCGAGTGTGTGACCACTTGCTAGTGATTTGGCTTTGGACAAGTTCCTGAACCTCTTGATGCCTTACTTACTGATTTGTTAAACAGGGATTATAGTCGTGCCTACAGCAAGGAGATAATGTGAGGATAAAATGATATAGGCAGCCCCTGGCTTGGGAAGGATTCAATATCCATTAATTACTATTCTACTTCCTTCCCCTCTTTCTCTTCCTCTTCTTCACTGAAAAAGTGCTCTCCCATTGAATTTTGTCATTTGCTCTCTAGATTAGCAAAATGTTCACAGAACTTGGGAGGAGGGTAAAATTGAAAGAATCTGTCACCCTAACAGGATTCAGGATGTCTACTTTTGGTCAGGTCTTTAAGGTTTTACCATTATGTTCTCAGGTCTCAGTATTGATCTGGGTGTGTTAGGTGTAAAAAATGGCCTCTGCCCTGAGCAGTAGTGTATTTGAGAAACAACAAATGGACATATAAATGGTTAATGAAAACACAAGCACATATAAAATTAAGTTCTAAAGGAGTAGTATAGGCCGTAAGTGATGTAGGAATCTAATTTCATTTTGCTGATACTTTGTGTTGTTTTGACCATGAAAGATGATACCATTTGGGGTGAAATTGTGAGGGTGACCTCTTGTACAATAATACAATAAAATGTCCTATTTCATCGTCTTCGAATCTAAAATATATGAACTTAGATCAAAAGAAAACAAGTTTAAAGATATTTGAGTATGATATTATTGTCTCTTTTTATTGTTAGCCTATTCATGCTCTCTACCACTAGATGTGTCAGGATGGTAAAAATAGGAAGAACTAGTCAATGCTTTGAATAAAATTGCCAAGAAGGCTTAAATTTTTTTGGTGATGATCTCTCAATGAATTTCTGTCTTTATTGTATTTTTGCTATTTTAACTAGCTGATCAGGCTCATTCAGTGGCCTTTTTCATTCCAGGAATGTCCTTTGGAGATTCAGGAAGGAAGTAAAGTAAAAGAGATAGTTGGGCCAGATTATGTGGGATCATAGTTTTCAGGGCATAGAAAGCAGGTCTTTGGGTTAAAAGGTACTTTATTTTGTCCCATCAAACTCTTCTACTCCCTAGAAAAACATTCTTTGTGGCCTTTGGAGATACTCACACACGTGTGGTTAACCAGACACTTAGTACACAAAGTGATTCCTTACTGTTAAATCCTTCGGAATTATTTGAGTATGATGACAAAACAGTCCTACCATATTTCATTATATTCTTGTATCCTTCCAGTAACCTAGGGCTCTCTAGAGGCCTCCTTCCTTGGCGAAATATTAAGAGTATGGTTGAAGAGTCCCTGTTAGATTCTTATTTTTTAATTTTTATTTTTTTTTAAAGATTTTATTTATTTATTTATTTGAGAGAGAGAGAAACAGCATGAGGGGATAAGGGCAGAGGGAGAAGCAGGCTCCCCGCTGAGCTGGGAGCCCGATGCGGGACTCAATCCCAGGACTCCGGGATCATGACCCGAGTCAAGGCAATCGCTTAACCAACTGAGCCACCCAGGTGCCCCCCTGTTAGATTCTTAAATCTCATACTACCAAGAGGGGGACAAAACAATATTTAAAAAGATATCCCTTACCTCACTAGTGATTTTGAATGCGCGTTATAGGAACGTCCTAGAGACGGATCTCCCTGCATTGTCCTATGCTGGGTGACTAATAAGAGGACGTGTTGAGTAAATGGGTGGTGACCCGACCTCAGGTGTTCTAGGTATGCGTTCCCTTTCTCGCCACTCTGGTCTCTGCGTGGTGTGACTGCGTACCCGCCTGTGCTTGCGCGAAACCCGTCCAATAGAAAAGACCTATCAAGGACGGTGATATTTTTTTTCCGTTCCCTTTGCCACCGCCCACTCCCGACAACCTAGACATGTTCCCGGACTTCTCTTACTTTTCCATCTCCTCCCACCCAGCCCAACCTCCCTTTCTTGCGACGCGAATGGGACGCCTGAGGACCCAACGAGCATGCGCAACCATTCCGAGCATGCTCAGTAGCGCGCGTGCGTCCTGGGGCTTCACTGCGCGGTGGCCGACGCGGAGGATTCCGCGGCTGCTGCGGGAGCGACAGGAAGTGAAGCGGCCCGGCCGGGCGACCGCGGCGGCAGAAACAGAGGCGGAAGGGGCGCTGCGGCAGCAACGACGTCGGCGACGGGGGTGGACGAGGGGGTCGAGCACCGAGACGACTCGCCCGCTCGGAAGCCGGATCCCGAGCTGGGCAGGATGGATCACCACCAGCCAGGGACTGGCCGCTACCAGGTGGTGAGTTCCTGCGCCCCGGCCCCGGCCTCCTGAGCGCCCCGCCTCCCGCCGTCGACCAGGCAGTCCCCTTCTTCGGGCTAAAAACTGCCTAATTTTTTTCCTTTACACCTCTCCTTGTGGAGCTTGCCACTGACTCTTTCGAGACCCTTTGCTCTCGACCCAGGGCTCCTCCCACCTCCCCACCCCTTACCCGCACCCTATACCCCGCTGTAGGACACCCTCCGTCCTCCCTTTCCTAAAACTTATATTTGTTTTACTTCTCACTTTCTCGATCATTTCCTAATTCCCTGACCCAGTCACTTCTGAGACATTTCCAGTGGCTTGTCTGCTGGAAATGGTGTTGAGTTCACATACCTGCTGGGAAGATGATCGCCGTCATAAATGGAGCGGGTTGGGGGGGGGGAGGATATGTAAAGCACGATGTAGAGTGGGATGTGGATTCGGTGAAAAATGTGGGTTGAAAAATTGTGTAACTATAGAGAATAGTGGTGCTGATCTTGTGTCTCAGCTCTAGTTAACCTTGTCATTTGGTCCTTTTCCATTTTGTTAGTATTAAAAGTGACTATTTTTTCCTATTCCGACTTTTTTGGGGGGAGGGGTAGGAGAGGAAATAGAAGTTTTACTAGGAAAAAATGCAGATCTTGTTTGAAGAATTATTTTTCATTAAATACAGGGTTTTCCAGTTCAACCACATAAGCCTTTGTATATTAAAATGACTGAAAAGTGTCCCTCTCTCTTTTTCAGTGTCAATTTTTCTAACGTATTTTTTCCTCTAGTATTAATATGGTCCTGGCATTGGAGGTTTCTGTTGTAAACCCTCTTTAAAAAATGGACTCAGCAATAGTTGACTCTTCTGTTGTAACTAGGTAGCGAGTTACAATATAAACTTTCAGATGGTAATTAAGTTAAACCTTTTTACTAAGGAAGAGGAGGAAAACGTTAATATGTAGCATTGATGGTGCAATTAATAGTACTGTTTGTGAAATTTTACAAATGTAGATATAATAGAACAAATATGTATTTGCACATGTGAGCCTTAATTATGAACTAAGAATTTCTTTTAATAATTGCATTTTGACAAATATGAAGGCTACTGAAAGATGAAATCCCAATATATGCAATTTTGCATTTTTCTAAGGTAGAAGCTCATGATGCTTTCATTTCACCTGCTTTACATCCTGTAAATCTTCAAATGATCTATGTTGAATTTTGTGAATATTTGTATTTTCAGAATGGTTTGGAAAATACTGCTGTCAGTATGGAAGGCATTTTTCAAGTTGTCAGTCTATACACTTTTGGTAGTTTTTTATTCTTAAAGGCATTCTTATTTTTGCAGATGTTAGCTAAAATAAAATTCAGTAGGTTAATATTGAATACTATTTCCAGTGGTTTTTTCTAATCTCTTTTCTTTCTTGATCCTATTTGTTTCCTTAATGGCATTAACTGATTTGAATTCTTTGGGGATTTTGCTTATCAGAATCAACCATGTTCTTATACACAAGTCACCACTCAAAACATTTTAATTGATATAGCTGTGCCTTAAAATAATTTGTTATATTGTCACATTTGCTTTCAGTGGTTATGACTAGTTAAGACGTGACTTAATTATTACTAAAAAAAAAAAATTCCTAACACCAATATTTTGAAATTTACTCTCCCAGTTTTAAGATTTTTCTCCCTTTTTTCTACAACTTTCTTCATAATAAGTGGATATATCATATTTTATTTCATTTTTCCCCCCTCAACTGGAGATGTGTCCTGCGTAGACTTTGAAATAGACTTTGATTGGGTGGAAGCATTCCTTCAGAGCAGAGGGCAAAAATTTGTTCTTTTAAAGTTACTGTTGGGTGGGGGGATGGGTTAGCCTGCTGATGGGTATTCAGGAGGGCACGTATTGCATGGAGCACTGGGTGTTATACGCAAACAATGAATCATGGAACACTACATCAAAAACTAATGATGTACTGTATGGTGACTAACATAACAACAAAAAATAAAAATTAAAAAAATAAAATCCATTAATTCCAGCTTTCTATATAAAAAAGAAGTTACTGTTCACTTTAAGTAGTATGATATTAATGTGTTTTCTTTGTAGGGCAAGTGTTTGAGAATCTTAGCGTAGTTTAAATTTGGATGTTAATTCCTGTTGCTTTGTAATTACATATTTATTTCCTTTGTCTAGTATAACTCTTGGTTTTGTTGAGAATGGCCTGGTGAATAACTCTATGTAGTTATTCCAAAGAAGCAGCTGAATAGGTGTCTCGTAGGTGTCTCGTAGGTGTCTCTATTAATAGGTGTCTCGTAGACTATTTGGCCAGGGACAAATCTGCAGCTCTGGTTTGTTTATACGATGAACACAACTGCTGTGTGGCTGTCTCTAGCTCAGATTTTTTGAAAACTCTGGAATGATTAATAGATCACTGAGCAGTAAACAATTTCAGTTGTTGAATGTTAAGAGATGACTAAGTAGGAGACAGGCAGATATACTTAGGGGTGAAATAGTATGTGATGATAATTTATCACTTAGTGATAGAGTTACAATTTAGCTTTTTCATGTTGGAAAGCTGGCAGTGATGCGCAGGCCCACCAGGATGACTCATTACCATTAACCAATGCACAGGTTTTATGTGGAAACTGGTTTTTCTGTGGTCTTTTCTTCCCTTCCCTTTCCTTGTTATAGGGGGTCTGAATTTTGTTAGGTAAAACAATGTAGAGCTACAAAAAGCCTTAATTATTACCCTTCTAATTTCAGAAAAAGCTAGGTATGCTCTATAATTTCCTTGTGTTATGGGGAATTAAGTCTTGTTTGGTAAAAAATGAGCAATGTTGCCAAACAATGTAGTAGTTGATTTGGCTTGAAGCTGTTAGGCCACATTCTAACTTTGATGTTCTCTCTTTTAAAGGATTATGTACCTGAACCAAGCTGACTACTAAGGTTTCAAAGATAATTCTGTATACCAGTAGAGTTGGCTGTGTTGATTGTAGCAGTAGTTTCCCAAACTCTTTTCCAGAATGCTGATAATAGATTATCTTAGAAGATTTATGACTTACATTAGCATGTTAAAACATACTTGCATATGAAAACCACGAGAAATTCTGCAGTAGAGACAATGGTTTGGATTTGTTTGACCTAGCTCTTCCTAAATTTTGATCACAGAATTTTGAAGAAAATTTTAAGATTAACATTTCCAAAATGTTAATTTTTCTGTGAACATAATGAAGTATTCATACTGCAAAGGTCTAGGTACTTTGGTCTTATATCTGGAGAATTAGAGTTGTCCTTGATAAATCAGCTGGGAAGGAGATTGATTATTGATGGTTTAAAAAAAAAACATTTTAAAGACATCTGGGCTTGTATTTAGGTTATGCTGTTTACAGTTTGAGAATTATATGTTGTAATATATGTAAAAGACGAAATACCGAGGCCGTTACATGATAAATGATATTATGAATAACTTAAGGTATACAAACTATAAAGTATTATATATATTTCAGTTTTTGTTTGTGACCACTTTTGTGTCTCTTTCTCATATAGTAATATGAATATCATCTAGTTCTTTGTTGCTCATGTCAAGTACTGTGAAAAGTCTTAAGATTTGATTTTACCATATTTACAGGCTAATAAGTTAGTTTTATTAATGTTTAATTGTTGCTAGTAGAAAACAGGAGATTGCCAGATCAGAAACACTAGCGTTATTACTCATAACACAGCAAGCTGCATGAATATCAGCATGTTTGTGTAGGTTTTTGTTACACCCAGTTCCCATGAAGGTAATGAGTCTAGATGGATGCATGTAGTGGATCACAGTGGAGGAACTGAGGACCAAGGTTCCAGTACTTTTTTAGCAAGCAGCAAACATTGTGGCAGGCAACAAACAAGGTAGTTCACCTCTCCCTTGGAGTATAGTATGTGCTGTGGTAACCTTGACCTTCTTTGTTGCCTAGGTGACTTGTTACAAGAATCCACTCAGTATCAGGAAGTAGATAAGTTTTGCAGACTTTCACACTCAGCAAGAATATGCAGGGACAGTTAGGCCCACGACAGACTGCCTTACTCAATAGTACGTGTTCTGGATGAGATAATAGATGGGGATTTTTAGGTGTAGTCGTTTACTTTTGCTTTTCATGTTAAAGAAATACTGTAGTCTTTTATATTATGTAGCTCTCAAGTTTTTGCCTTCTTGGCCCACCTTTATTTCTTTGATCCTCACTTGTTTGTTTCCTTTGAATTTATCAGTATCCTTTTTCTGGTGTATATTCTTACCACACCACTTTTACATCATCAGAGTTGCTCATTGCTTAATCTGATAGGTATTTTTCTGTGTTCATCTTGCTTGATTTCTGTTATATTGACACTGGGAACTTACTTTCTCTTTGAATCTCCTTTTTCCTGAGAAGAAGCTTTCTACTCTTCTCTGACTTCTCTTTGTGAACTCATTTTATACTAACTATTTAAATGTTAATACTTTCTATGACATCGACTGTTGTAAGATCCTACTTACTACTTTCTTCCTTCTTCTGACCATCCTTCAGTGTGTCTTTTGCACTGTGTGGGTCATATTTGTAGAGCATAAATTTGTATATCATCCTTTTTATTGCTGAATAGTATTTCATTGTATAAACTGAATGAATACGCTACAGTTTATTCATCCATTGCTCTTTTGATGGACATTTGGGTTGTTTCCAGTTTTTGGCTATTATGGATAAAGCTGGTAGGAATATTTTTGTACAAATCTTTTTTTTTTAAATATCTTTTTTTTTTTAAGATTTTATTTATTTTGACAGAAAGAGAGAGTACAAGCAGGGGGAGCAACAGGCAAAAGGAGAGGGAGAAGCAGGCTCCCTCAGCAGGGAACCCGATGTGGGGCTCGATCCCAGGACCCCGGGATCATGACCTAAGCTGAAGGCAGCCACCTAACCAACTGAGCCACCCAGGCGCCCCTGTACAAATCTTTTTATCAACATATATTTTCATTTCTCTTGGGTGGAATTACTAGTAA